AAAAAAAAAAAAAAAAAAAAAAAAAAAAAAAAAAAAAAAAAAAAAAAAAAAAAAAGCTAATGCACACATCCATATTTATGCCAATGTACAAAAATGTCGGAAAACCATATTGTTTATGTATGTAGAAGTGTGTGTAGGAGTTTGTCGTGGGTAGAATTTCTCTTTGTTCTTTATATTCCCTTTGTACTTTATGTGTTTGTCTATGTGAAAAGATATCAGCATATCCAAATAAAAACATGTCTATTTGAAGGTATGAAAGAGGGCTTTCTTATCGACTTCCAATCACTAGGTACTTGAATTCATTATCATCAAGTCAGCGTGAAATTAAGAAAGAGAAATCTTGAGTGATTTATAGAATGAATTTAAAAACTCGAAAAAAAAAATGAACACCCATGTTCAACAAGGGATATTATCCGACACTTCCCCACAAGTCTAATTAACAATGTGTATATGCACAAACTAAGTAAAGAGGATTCTGCATCTATGGATTTGAAGGTAACACTTTATACACGCATAAAAGGAAATCTGGCCAACATATAACCAGTTAAAAAACAATTTATCTTTCCATCTTTCATTAGCCTAAAATTCCACAATTTCCTGCACATTACAAATTCTTAGTTCCTTAGTGTAGGTATGAGTTCCGAGTCCTATGGAACACGTCATCTATCAAAATAATGCACATTTATGTCTTGCATGCAATTTTAAATAAATAAAGTGAGGGTTTTTTTTCCATATTTGATGGCTATTTCTAGCTTGAATACAAACATGCTTGAATAAAGACCATACATCTATTTCTCAATATATTTTCATTCAACCAAGTTGATGAAATCTTTACAAATAATCTATGTTTGTCTTTACGGTGACATTTGTTGGTAGCTTGTTACTTACAAAATGATTTATTTATTACCTCCCATTTGTATCAATAGAAATCATCATTTTTCTCAAAGGATTAGAACAATCCCTTAGTCGAAGATGATCCTCTCCCTACCTTTCTCCAGATTAGTTAAGCAATCTTCCTCCTCTCTTTCTTATCTGAGTTCAAGCTATAGATTAGCCTATGCATATTCTCCATATATCATTGTTACTTCTCCATTTTGAATGAATCAAATCAAGCAAAAATTACTATTTTCTTGCATGCACATTCACTGTGCTAAACTAACATCCACTTGAATTTCCAAAGATAAAGATGCATGAATTTATATTTGACAAAACTTAAATTATAATTTAAATTGATCAAATATATTTTTTTATTCATACATTTTATTCTATAATTACTAACTATTTATTATCCACGCATTAAAAATAAATTCACAGCTTTGGATCATTTGCCATGTACCCAATTTGTGACCCTCTTTTCTTTATATTTCTTTTTTCAATCGAGATTACGTTTCATGCAGTCTGTCTTGATTCAGTCCATCTTGGAGCAAGTCTACAAACATGTCGGACTAATAACAAAGTTTCGTGGTTCCACCTCTCATTATCAAGGCATAGCTTTACATACTATTAAATTAAAGCCACTCCAAAATAAAATTACAATTAAAAGGGAATTCAAACTCGACTAAAACAATAAATAAACAATTTATTGTGCGTTATTAATTATTAAGAAAATGTACTCAAATCACATGAAATCAAAATAAATATTGTTTTGGGAACCAGGTCACATGACAAGGGACCTCATGTCGTAAGATCGAAAAATAATTATTTAGTATATCAAAATGATATATTTGATATATCTTTTTTAGGGAGAAATTCTTGTGAAATCTTTTATTAAATGCAGAGCCTGTTTTTATGTAAGTGAGGATTACATGGATGTTGGCTGTCCAAATTGACAAAATTTCATTCACTCGGATTTTGAACAACAAAATCAATTACATCCAATCAATTTCGCTACCTTTATTACTACAGGCCCATGAAGTTTGAACCAAAAACTAAGGGTGACTTATATGGACAACAACACGAATAGGAATAATCTTAAAAATCTATCACTAAAGCACCTACATTTTTACCCAGACAAAACAAAGCCTTTTAATTTGAAACCTATAAAATAGAAATCCAAAAATTCTAGCAGAAGAAGAAAAATCACCTCACCAAAAATATTAAATTCGACGACCCGAGAACCCGAATCATAAGAAACTGGACCCAGGAACAGTAATCTCGGCTGTCGAAATTCCTGCTTGACAGTACGTTAGGAAGGTTTGAAACGATGCAATAAGGTTGAATGGGGGAAAATGTCTTGAAATTCCTGCTTAATAAATCAAATAAAAAAGCAATAAGGTTGAAATGACTGGAAGAAAAAGATTATATCTCAACATTCTCAGCTTTTTTGTGCTAAATGTTTTTGAAAACAAGTACCATAAGCTGAAGGAAAAGTTTAAATCGATCCACTTCACGATTTGAGTGTATAAATACCAGAATATGCAGTAAAATGTACAAACGCCGCTGCAAATTAGCAAATCACATCAACACATACAAAAGCCACTGCAAAATCGCAATAGGATGAAGACACAGAGCTATAATCGTCGATTGAATTTGCCAAGGGATTTGTTTCGTCGTTTTTCTACCGTAGAGAGAGAAATATGGGTTCGTATGAAAGAAGCTTTTGCAGCATAGTGGTCACAGTATTCATTTTAGAGATATTTTGTATCCAAAGACCATTA